GGTAGTTTTTTCATATTCTATTGTTAAAGTGGCAGGCGTGGCGCAAGAAGACTTATCCACTAACAAAAGGCCTTCTTGTTATTACTTTAAAAGGATCTAGAGACATGATTTGCTTGTATAGCTGTTAAGCACTCTTAGTTTTACTTTATTATTCCCGTGAGAAGAGAAAAGCACTTGTTCACTCTTGTTGCTGCACCCGTTATCACTGAGACAACTAAAATTATTTCACCTTTAGAAGACTAAAGTACCGAACAAAGTTTTGAATTTCTTTATCTTTTTTGCATGATTGGGCAGTAAAAATGTTGTACTTTCACAAAATAAGTGCGCAATTTGTCAAAAATTGTTTGAAATTTAGATATAACCATTCAAAAAGTAAAAAAATTATCATACATACATAAAGGAATGACAAAATGGCGGCACTGACTGCCCTCATCTTTAATCTGCAAATGTTCCACACAAAGTTACTCCAAGTGCTGTCATATTTAGCAGGAACACAGGTATAATTATGGAGAACAACTACTGAAGTGCGCAAATTGATGAGACTTATTCTGAAGAAAGATATAGCCTAGTAAATGGAAATGTCCATTCCTGCCCTGTATAAAGTCAACCAGTAGTATACGGAGATAATTGCTCAGTATACTAATCCGCGACCACTCATTGCTGGACATGAGTTTCCCGGTAAGAAAAACGACAACTTGCATACGTCGCTAGGCAACGCATGACATGCCTATAAATTTAACGGTGGTTTCCTATCCCTTTCATTTACTCTAATATCTATGAATGAATGGAGAATGTGCGTCGCAATCCGTGTCCAAAGAATTCAATTAACTTTTATTACCTTGAGGATCAAGGTAGGGGAGTTTATCTAGGTTTATTTGCAAGATAGTTTGTAACTGAGGTAGCTCTTGTCGTTAATAATGTTGTATACTGATATGACTATTTATAGAAATTTTAAAAATACATATTTACACCTGCAATCCATGTATAAATTGACTATTTTCAATGATAACTTACATAAAAACAGTTTTGTACCTATAACTCACCATCAAAGGATAAACAATGAAAGTCTATAGCATACCAAGCAACTATAAGTAGACCTGCATGCCAATAGCACACTTTCAAATCTTATTCAATACTCCTGTAGTAGTAATGGAAACTTTCAGAGAAAATTTACCGTCTTCTTTTGTACCTCTACCAGCAGTACCGAAGATCCTACGGTAACAATTATTGCTACAGTGATTACTGAAGTGCTACTTTAGTGCAATGACTTATAATTTTACTTGTATGTTGTTCTTTATAGATCATGGGACAAAAAGTAAAATTTAGACATTTCAAAAACCAAATTCTTTTAAAAATATGATAATTTATCCCTATAAAAGATGCTGTCTATATTTCTGCTTTAGAATATACAGAACAAAATAATTTTGAAGATAAGTTCATGTTAATTTCTAAAATGTGGCTGTGAACTGTCACATGCATGTGCATCAGTGCCGGAGCAAACCATA